TATACGGGTTATCTAGCTAGTTTCTTTCTCTATATACCGTTTTCACCTTGGCTCTGGTCTGGTAGCGGGCAGTAGAGGTCTTTTCGCGAATGGAGCAGGATCCGAGTCTGCCAGTGGCGGCGAGCGTTCACTAGCCTTGATCTTGCCCTTAATCTCATCCAAATGCGCCAGAGAACTTTCCAAAGGCTAAATCCCTCGACGGTTTGGGGCGACAGTTAGTTTCCCCGAACCACGCCAGTGAAACTGCCAGTCCTAGTGGAGCAAGTGCTAGTTGCGATATCAGATGGCGAGCGTTATAGATGTCCGGATCATCCCGCTAGTCGTCAATGTTGCCCTCTCACTAATTTGTCCTACTTGATGAAATATCGTTCCAAGGCCGCTTTGCTTGCACTAAGTAGAAGTGGAAGCCTGGTTGAAAGAGACCGTATCACATATCCATCAGTGACGTTAGGTGGCATTGCAGTTATGTACCTGGTTGCAGTGCAGAGCCGGGTTACTGAACCGAAGTAACAGACAATAGTCATAATGCAATGTCTATTACATTCGTATCTCCAAGTAATAGCGAAACGAGCTCATGTCATAGCCTTGCTCCAATTCAGCGCTTCTCGACGCTTGAATGGCGAAAACAGCGCGGTCGCACAAGTTCCGATCCTGACAACCTTGGAAACTGACAATGTTCAGATAAAGAGCGCTGACGATGAGGAAGTACCATTTACATAGTCGTTGGCACACCAGCACTTCCAATCAAGATGAGTTTCCCGAAGACTGACACCAGAGTTTCGACTTCTGGTAGAACCGCCGACAAAGTCCCGGGTTATGGGATCCAGATTGGGTGAGCTTCTACAATCTCACCCAACAACGAGGATGGTGATGGTCCCTCCGAAACGCTGACCGTGTCTTTTAGCTATCGAACCCTTTCCGTTCGCGTAGAAGAGCGAGAACTCCCTGCAAAGCCTAAAGCCAGCGCGGACCCAGCTGATGCGATTGCAAGTATCGATGTCCACCTCATCACCCCAGAGGATGTCTATACTCGTTACTCTACTCACCCAGCTCATGGCTTGGGGATTGCAGCCATACAACGCAGGTCAAAGGACGGAAAAAACACTATCAGTCCGCCTCCAACTCAATACTGGAAGAAAGCCCTCAATTATGTCTTCGGCGGCTTCAACTTTCTCATGTGGATTGCATTCATATTGACCCTCGTGAGTGTCTCGCCCATAAACTGGACTTCGAAGGTTCACCGCCATTCTTCAGTTGTCCTATAAACCCCTGGGCCAGCCGGACCCTCAACCTTTCGTCCTTGGTGTAGCGATTTTGCTGGCGAGTACTTGATACTGTATGCCGCCAATCTGACTGTTACTCATCATCTGCGCTTCTCTAGCTACTCGTCATTATCGTTTCAGCAACTTTTTATGCACTGGTGGACTGGAATGCCAGTCGAATCATGAAATCGATCAAGTCACTCATTGCGGAAGATGCCTCCGTCATTCGGGATGGAAAACAGCACCAGATACCTGCAAGCGATATTGTTGTGGGCGATGTCGTCGTCCTGGCACCCGGTGACCGTGTCCCAGCGGACCTGAGGATCGTGCAGGCCTCTTCTGACGTTCGTTTTGATCGCTCACTGCTTACGGGTGAGAGGTGGGTTTCTCCAACAGCTCAAAATCTTGTACGTGACAGTTCTAAGGTCATTACAGTGACACGATTCCCGGTGTCTTAGACGCCACCTCTGACAATGCCCTGGAAACCCGCAATCTCGCTTTGACCTCGACGTTTGTCGTTCAGGGTACTTGCACTGGCGTCACATTTGCTACAGGAGACAGAACGGTCATGGGCCGCTTGGTATCGATGTCCGGTGAAAAGAAGTTTAAGCTAACAACGATCCAGAAGGAGGTGTGGTTTTTCACGAAGATCATCTCCGTTCTGGCCTTGCTCTTTTTCTGCTTGTCGCTCCTCCTGTATGGCGTTTGGCTCAGGACGACGTACCCCGGCTATGACACAACGAGTACGGCGATCGTGAACTCGATCGGATGTCTTACGGCCTTTGTCCCTCAGGTGTATTTGCTTCATTATCTTCCATGCCCCCTTATGAACATTTGTCTCATTAGGGACTGCCCGTTTGTGTCGCCCTCTCTCTGACCGTTGTGGCTCGCCGAATGGCTAAACGCCATGTTCTGGTTAAAAACTTGGCCACGATCGAGACACTCGGATGTATGTCCGTCTTGTGCTCAGACAAGACGGGTACACTCACCGCGGGAAAGATGGTTCGTCACCTCACAAAAAAACATGCCGGATTTGCATCTATATGCTCACTCGATTCATAAAGATGGTAGAGAATGTTGCCTTCTTCGACAATCACCTGTCCGTTCGCAACATTCGTGAAACGGTTTCTAAAGCTGCCCAGCCCACCATGTTCACCGCTCTCAAAGCACTCCATCAGATCGCTCGGCTATGCAATGCCGCCAAATTTGACGCTGCTACCATAGACAGCCCTGTAGAAGAACGTGCCGTGAAGGGTGACCCAACCGACACCGCACTCCTCCGCTTCTCCGAGAACCTTTCGATCCCAAGCCTTGATATCAGCGCAGTCAGCCTCTTGCAATCTTGGACGAAGAACTTCGAGATCCCTTTCAACTCCCGTAACAAGTGGGCGTTGACGGTCGTCACTGATGGTAACGCTACCGAGAAACATTCAGGATCGGCATGGATGCTCGTCAAGGGTGCCCCAGATGTCTTGTTCACCTCGTGTGGAAGCGTATTACGAAGCGACGGTACTTCCATACCGTTTGGTGAGAGTGAAAAACAGGCGCTGGCTGCACTTCAGAATGAATGGTCAAGCGGAGGCCAGCGAGTCCTTGCACTGTAAGTCTGCGATTATCCATATTGTATGGAACCCCTACTTCATGCCTCACCCGCAGTTGCCGCAAGTCCTTGGACGGATTCAAGAAAGGACTGCCACCGAACGATATGGAGGAATTGTTGTATTCGGAGATGCAAGATCTCACGCTCGTCGGCCTCGTCGGCATTCGCGATCCTCCTCGTGAAGACGTCCCTGCTGCTATCGAGACGATTAGACGGGCTGGCGTTCGTGTCTTCATGGTCACCGGCGACTTCAAGCTGACTGCCGTGGCAATTGCTCGTCAGGTAGGTGTCTATGTTCTGTCCCCGCCGTTGTGTGCTGAGGGTCGATTCATTTCCTGTATAGGTCGGAATTGTCACCCAACAGCGGATTGATACAATCGACGACGTCAGAGCAGTGGCGTCTGAGAAGACTCCCCCTATGTCGCGCCATGCTGTCAAACCAGGGGAAAATGATCCGATAAGGGCCCTTCTACTGACCGGCGAAGATGTTCCCTCTCTGACACCTGCCAACTGGGATATCATTGCTGGGGTGTACAGCGAAATTGTCTTTGCGCGTACCACCCCCGACCAAAAGATGAAAATCGTTGAAGAAATCAAGTATCGTGGAGATAACACAGTGGCAGTGACTGGAGACGGCGTCAATGATGCACCTGCACTGAAAGCCGCTGATATCGGTGTCGCTATGGGAAGCGGAAGTGATGTCGCAAAGGAGGCTGGTATGTGCGTTCGCTTACAGTCGTTGAACGTGTCTCTCAGGCTTAATTTCAAAGCTGCCTTGATTTTGCTCCAAAACGATTTTGCGTCGATACCGGTTGCCATCGAAATGGGTCGTCTTGTATTTGACAACCTCAAGAAAGTCACCTTATATCTGATGCCGGTAAGCAGACCTCTTCAATGTAATCAATGCAGGCCAACGCGAGCTCTTCAGGCCGGAAGCTACACTGAGTTCATGGCAGTCTTCACGAATGTGGTTTTAGGCATGCAGCTGCCCATGAGTACCTACCAGCAAGTCTGCTTCTGTATTACTAATGACGTCGTCATGTCCGTATCCTTGATGTACGAGAAGCCGGAAGCAGGTCCGTTCAACCAAGTGTTGCTTGTATCAGTGCTGACCACATCGCAGACCTCATGTTGCGCAAGCCTCGTAATGCACGCACTGACCGCTTAACAGATTGGCGTCTTTTTGTGCAAGTCTACTTGGTGAGTCGCTAGCGAAAGGTTGTTGGAGAAACACGTCTGAGTGTCATAGTTCATCGGGCTGATGCTGTGGCCGACTGCAATGGGAATGTGGTTCCTGTACATGCACCAACAAGGTCTTGGCTTCTACGACGTCATTTTGGTCTACAACAAATGGCAGGACGGTTGGCAAGGCTACACGAGCGAGCAGCTTACCAATTTCGTCTATGTCGGTTCATGCGTCTAGTAGGTATCCCTTCATCATTTTCCCGATCATCTAATGGTCTTCCAGCTACGTTGCACTAGTCTTTGGACAATACGGGAGCCTTCTTTCTGTCCGAAATCGTCGCGTTTCGATGTCGCAATCGAACCCGCTCTGGGGTCCTCGCCGAAATTTGGTTGTGCCCTGCAGTATGCTGGCGACGGCTTTGATTGCGGTCATCAACCTTTACGGACCTGGGCTACAACGAATATTTAACATGAGGCCTATTCCTGGGATGTTTTGGGGCGTACCCTTCTGCTTCGCCCTGGGTATCCTGATCATGGATGAACTTCGTAAGTTGATCGTGAGGACGTACCCAAAGGTGAGGTTCCTCCGAGTCTGACAGTCACTTTTGGTGTGTGGCTGACTCGATGATACTAGTCATTCGTTGCTTGGATTGCATGGTAAGATGGAGAACTCAGGATGCGAACGTATTCCTCTTTCATTATCGAGTTGTAGGTAGTCCTCGAAAATAGAATGTATGTATTAGTAGTGATTTGATTTATCGTCGTGAATTATCCCTCCAGGCCTTCTGGTCATAGGAGTTCATAAATCGAATAGTCCCCTGTATCGGTAATGATAATGTGCATGCTCGAGATACGAGAGACAACTATCACTCAAGGAGAACATATTTCCAGATGACGGTGCTATGATGTTTTGCTCGTGGTCCTCTGTTCCATACTAGAAGCGGGAACGCAACGGCGCTATAGTGTAGTGGTTATCACTCAGGATTCTGATCATTTCCATATTTGGCACAAACATCACCTCATTTCCTGAAACCCAGGTTCGAGCCCTGGTAGCGCCTTTGTTTTTTTTTTTTACCTGGTTTTGGCCCATCTACCACATAAATAAATCCTACATATCTTCACAGAATGATGACATTGAGTCACTTTGAAATTGCTCTGCCTCAGGTAGAATAGAAAGGCAGCTCAAATATGTGATTTCTTGTCAGCGTCCTGGCATTACAACGGGTTGCCATCATAAGGTTCTTTGAATGGTGCTGTAGCGACCCAAGCCATTAATTTGGCCAAATGGTGAGTTCCAGACTGTCACTGCATGGACTCTCAGAAAAGATTTGGCTGAGATGCTTGAAAGCCTCATGGCAACTGACTGGTGCCAAATCTATACAGTCATCCCCCTACACTTGTGATTGACCACTGTGAGGGGATTGTCGCCAGTGTTGGGGGATGATGACTATAGAATAGTAACTGTGAGATGAAGCAGGCATCTTCCTGTGTGGCACGTGTTGGACTCTAGCTGTGGTCAGCAATAAACAGTGAATTAACAACAGCAAGACAGAGCAAATACTAATACAGTACAATCGGTCATAATGCATATGCATTATCCTGACCTGCCCTAGTCTCTTGATAGTGTGGGTGTGTGGGGATTGTAGATAAAGGACCTGGTGACATGAGCATTTTGAGACATAAAGCAACATGATTGCTCTTGTTCATTGGTTCAAGACACATTATGGGCTGTCCTCACAATGCATAAAATCCCTCATCACTACACCCATTATTCATTATGCATCAACTCTGTGTTTTGAGTGGGCCCAAAGCCACTGCAGGTGCTATCAGGACATGAAGACAATATCTTGTTACTTGCCAAGCTGACAAAATGGTTAGAGTATGGGATGTGGAGGATGGCAAGCAAGCAAGAGGGGATGTTGATGGAGCACAATGGCTGGGTACAAGGTCTCCCCGTCACAAAAGATGCAAAGAGGATACAGAGCAGTGGCCTGGATGGGTAGGAGATTGAGGGGATGGGATGGGATGAGGGGATGCACCAGCCCCTAGAAGAATGGCCATGTCACCAGATGATCAACTGGTTGCAAGCTGTGACAGCAAAGGGAGGATCATCATCAGGGAAATGAAGGAAGGTGGGGAGATCAGGCATTTTGTGAAGACTGCTCCAGGATATGAACTCAATCTGCTTCTCTCCAGACAGGAAGAACCTTGCTTGTGCACAAGATGATATAATGCTCTAAGTATTTGATGTCGAGAGTGGCGATCTTGTTCTTGGACCAATCAAAGGTCTTACAGATTATGTCCATGCTGTCATCTGCATCTGGTTGGTTAACAGAAGACCACTCTTCACAGCATCCTGGGATCAGAACATCCAATGCTGGGACTCAAAAACTGGCAAAGGGATTGGAGAGCCATGGATAGGTCACACTGACAATGTCAACTTCATTTCCCTTTCCCCTAATGGAACAAAACTAGCCAGTGCCACATAATGTAGTGCTTTGGTACTGTAGTATATGGACGGCCAAGGTTGACAGATAGCCATGGCTCATGGGCCAGCTGATGATCGGCTGACCTATAAGTTGCACTTGTAGGGCATGGATGGGCCGAGATGTAATAAAAATCCCATGTGATATGAGTTGGCCAAGGGGTTATTTTAGTAAGGATATTTTGAGTGATGGGTGGGTTGTGGTTTTGTGTGATATGAGTGGGCCAAGTATGAGTGACCCCATAGGTCTCAGGTGGGCTGAGGGATGGTGTCAAGTCCGGGTTCAATCCCGGAATTCCTGGATAATCTGGAGTGCGTGGAATGGTGGAGTTGGTCAGGAATCCCTGAGGGGGGTCGGAGGGGCAAGGAACTTCAGCTTCAGCTTATGTGCTGCGCCCCTGTACAAGTTCTGTTCCTTAATTTCAGGGCAGAGGGTCGGAAGACAATCCTAAGGTCAACTTAAGGACTGAAGTAGGTTTCAGAGTGAAGTGGAAACTTTGCAGGAGAGAACGGGATTTAGTTGATATTCAAACTAAGGAAATATCAGAGAGTACAAGCAGATTTATATACTGAAGAGTCCGGAAGATATAAAGGTGTTAAAGTATGTCGGACGAATTGGAGTTTCGGGTTTCTGGAACAAGGTAAGGAATGAATCGGAATGGCATCAGAATGGTGGAATAATAACTGAGGGCAATGGCACAATAATTGTGAAGCAGGGGGAAAGGGAATTATTGATAGGAACTGCAGATGTCAAGAAATGTCAAAGGAAAGAAACATATGTCAAGAGATAGCTGAGATAGGAGTACTAAAGTCTGGGACGGGAATGCAAAAGTCCGGGACAGGAAATACAGGGTTTGGAATATCCGATGAAGGAGAAATCTTCTAAGGTAAAGTCCAAAGCTCGGGATTCGGGATTCAATCATAGAAGGCCAGAATTGGGCCAGATGGGTTAGGAAAGTTTCGGGATGTGACACTTGATGGTTGTCACATCCCGAAACTCTCCTAACCCATCCGGCCCAATCCCAGCCCAATCCTGGCCCAATTCCGGATACTGTCACATCCCGAAGCTTCCCTAACCCATCCGGCCCAATTCCAAACCCCTATGATCAAATCCCGAATCCCGGGCCTCGGACTTTACCTTAGAAGATTTCTCTTTCATCAGACATTCCGAACCCTGTACTTCCCATCCTGGACTTTTGCATTCCCGTCCCGGACTTTCCGCATTCCTGTCCCAGATTTCTGCATTCCCATCCCGGACTTTCGCATTCCTATCTCGGTTAGCTCTTGACATATGTCACTTTCCTTTGACACTTCTTGACAATTACAATTCCCATTGATAATTCCCTTTCCCCTTGTCTTGCAATTATTGCGCCATTGCCTTCAGTCATCATTCTACCATTCTGACGCCATTCTCATTCTTTCTTCCAGAAACCCGAAACTCTGATTCGTCTGACATACTTTAACATCTTTATATCTTCCGGACTCTTCAGTATATAAATCTGCTTGTACTCTCTGATATTTCCTTAGTTTGAATATCAACTAAACCCTGTTCTTTCCTGATCCACTTCACTCTGAACCTCCTCAGTCCTTAAGTTGACCTTAGGATTGATCTCCAACCCTCCGCTCTGAAATCAAGGAGCAGAACTTGTACAGGGGCGCAGCACATAAGCTGAAGCTGAAGTTCCTTACAACTCCAACCCTCCTCAGGCATTCCTGCCAAACTCCGCCTTCCGTGCACTTGTTAAGTCTGGGTTCGTTCCTGGAATTCCCAGATAGTCTGGAATGCGGAGAAGGCGGAGTTTGGCAGGAATCCCTGAGGGGGGTCGTGTCACATCCCGAAAATTCCCTAACCAACCCGGCCCAATTCCGAACCCCTATGACCAAATCCCGAATCCCGGCCCTCGGACTTTACCTTAGACA